CGGCGGCCAGCCCGCTGCCCGTGGGGCTCTGGTTACAGCCCTATAAAGGGGGCCAGGGCGCAGGGCCGGGAGGGAACCGTGCCGGGCGCTTTGCAGCCCCACAGCCATGGGGAGCGGTGCCTTTGCCCTGGTCCTCGCCCTGGCCCTGGTGTCGTGCGTCACCCCTGCGGAGAGGAAGGTATGGGGATGGGTGGTGATGGGCATTTGGCAGACATGGCACTGGGATGCAGCATGGGCAGCCAGGGGTTCTGTCTTAAATACCATTTTAGGCTGGGACAAGCAGGAGAACTTTGCAAGCACCCAGTCTGGGCAATGGGCAGGGTACCTCTGGGTCACATCCAGCCACCTGGGCACCTCCACAAAGCACCATGCATGGGACATCCCTTCCCATGGGATATGTGGCCAGGGCACCATGCACGGGGCATCCCTTCCCATGGGATATGTGGCCAGGGCACCATGCACGGGGCATCCCTTCCCACAGGTCCTGTGCCGGGGTGTACAGTGCACAGGGCATCCCCTGGGGTCCCATGGGGTCTGTGTCTGTGTGTACCATGCATGCTGACAGGCTGGGATGTGCTGGCCTTCCTGCACCGTCCACTCAGCAGCCAGCAGCAGCTGGGGGAGCATTTCCCCAAACTGGGGACAAGGAGAGCCGTGCTCCACAGTTGCATTCACAGCAGGGTTTGCGGCTCCAGCTGTGGGGCAGTGGGAAGAATGGGGTCCCCCTCCATGCCATGCATGGGGGCAGAAGGCCTGTGGCTGTGTCCCTTCAGTGCCAGCTCAGTGGGCTGTGGAGGAATGAGCAGGACTCACTGATGGAGATCTCAGCGGTGAGGGACAACGGGGACTTCCAGGGGAAATACCTCACACGGGTGACGCTGGCCGGTGGCTGTGCCCGCACCTCCCCCCTGAAGGGTGCCCAGCAGCAGCCCGGAGAGGGGGGCTGGCCCACCTTCGCCTTCACCGTGCGCTGGGACAAGTTCTCCAGTAAGTGCTGGGACACGTGGGGACAGAACCACAGGGGCACTGGGAGCCACACAGGCGGCCACCAGGATTTTCCCCTGCTGGGAATTGTGCTGCGTGATGCTTTGGTACAGCTAAGCAGAGGCAGGCAGCAGCGCCTGCCCGGCGTGGGGGTAACGGGCAATGGTGGGCTCACAGGGGGCAGCCCCTCCTCACCCAGCAACTTTGCACCCACCCCTGCTGGGCAGCCTGAGGTGACCGCGGTGGGTCCAGACTCCATGGCAGCAATGGGGATGCCGTGCCTCGCCCAAGGGAGCTGCTGGGGAACGGCAGGTCCCCACCATGTGGGTTGGATGGCCATCGGAGCAGGAACATGGCTGCAGCCGGGAGGACCCCGGGGAGGGGGAAGCAACCAGCGAGCGTGGGTGCCGTCCCCACCAACCCCCCACCGATCGTTTCTCCCAGATGCCACCACCGCCTTTGCGGGGCAGTGCTTTGTGGACATGGCTGGGAAGGAGACGCTGACAACCATGTGGCTGCTGCGCGAAGCCGTCGGGTCCCTCGAGGAGGACTGGAAAGCCACGAGGTAGTGGGGGGATGTGGGGGGCAGCGGCCCCACAGAGGGACCCTGCCTAGGACCCCTGAGGATGAGCATCCCCCTGGGTGAGGGGACCCCCCAGTGTGGGTTTGCAGTGGGGGTGCCAGTGCCTCCAGGCCAGGACATCTTGGTCATGGCTTGAGACAAGCTGGAGACACTTCGGGACACCCCTGTCACCTGCCAGCACTGGCAGCCCTGAGCAGTCAGTGTCTATGGGTCATCCCACAGGAACTCTCTTCTTCTTCCCACAGGGTAGGCAGAAACGTCTTCACACGCAAACGCACCCCAAAAGGGAAGATGCTGCCGAGCTTGTCCCCATCCTGTGAGGACACGTCTTTGCCTGCCCCATGATGGCATGCTCTGGCTGCAGCCCGATCCCTCAAGGCAAGCAAACCCAGCCTCTCACACAATAATAAAATTTAAAAATCATGTCAGCTGTGGTCATCTTTTTTAAAAAAATGCCGTCATTCCCGGTCTGAGGCAGCTTCTGTCCCCAAGGGTACCCCTGCAGAGGCGAGGTCTCAGCCCTGCCCTTCCCCAGGGACATCTGGATCCTTCCCTGATCCTCCCCATCCAGCTCCCTGGGCTCATTTCCCACCTCATCCTAACCACAACTCCCATGTTGCACCATCACTGCCTGCCTGCCTGCCGGTGGCAGAGGTGGCATCAGCATCCCAAATCCAGCCACCTTCCTTGCAGTGCCTTCCTACCCATCCCCACCAGATGCCTTTCCAGTCCCAGGACTCAGTTGCTCCATAGGGTTGGGTGGTGGAGGTAACCATGTCAGTAGATGTGAGATACTGGTGATGTGCTTCTTTCACACTGCATGGCACCCAAAGTAAAATGCGCACAGTTAGAGCCCCCATCCTCTTGCATCCCATCACGTCCCCCTAGGTTACAACCAGGGATTTTAGTCTTCTCTGCCGCTGTGTTTTGGCAGTGCCACTCTATCAGCCTCTGTGGATGCCTGCCAAGCTTAGTCAGCTCTTTTGACGCAAAGTTTTTGGCTTCCATGGGTGAAGATGAAACCTCTTACAGAAGCGTTACAAATATAACCCAGCCCCGGGGCTGCCAGCACACGAGGCTGGTGCACGCTGCCGTGGCGTGGAGTGGTGACTGCTGCCTCCCTGGCACCTCAAACGGGGCGGCCTGTCCCTGCCAAACCGCACAGAAAGGCAGGGGGCTGGTGTCAGGCTGAAAAGATGGAGTGTGGCACCCAGGGGCAAGGGCATGAGGTCCCCCGGGGGGATTTCTCAGGCCTCTGTGATAAGCCCCTGAGTTTGGGACTGTAAAGGGTGACAAGGAGGAGTGATGTGTTAGGAGAGGGGTGGTTTCCACTGGCCCCAGCTTTTGGGGCCATCAGGACCAGAGGGAGCGGTGCTGAGCAGCAGTGGGTCCTGGGGTGTGCTGGGGCTCGTGGTGGGCACTAAGGGGTGCTGCCCCAGGGTGGGATTCCCCCACCCCCAGTCTGTGCACCGCAGCCCTGCTGCCACCCAGTGCCCCAGACACTGCTGTCCTGGGAACAGCGTGTGTTTATGCAGCTGAATCCCACCTTAATTTTCATTTGCCCACAGCCCCACGCCTGCTCCAGGCACTGCAGCAAGCAGAGAAGCAGCTCAGGAATGCAGGGACAGTGCATGCTGTGTTTTGTACATCCAAAGCCCCTAAAAGCAGCAAATACAAGGAAGAAGTGCAAACGCAAGGCTGGTCAGCATGCTGGGTGTGTTTAGCAAACACCCTTGCTTGGACCCCAGTGCCTCTCTGTGGCTACTATTTCCTCTAACTCTTGTAAAAGCAAAAGCAGAAAAATTAGCAGCTGATACCCAGAAGATGCTGGGGAAATGTTATTGCTGCTAAAAGAGAAGGCAGTGTGAGCTTCCTCTCTTGTGCAGCGCTGCAGCTCACCTCTGCCAGGGGTGCCCTGGCACCCGCGTGGGTGACACCCTGGTCGGGCAGTGGCACCAGCAAAACAGGGAGCGGTTAAATGTTTAAACAGGTAGTAATTTCCAGCCTGCAGGCACAGGAGGCGGATTCCCAAGGAAGGTAGTTGATGCTTTCCAGCCTGCTATGAGGGCCTTAAAAAAATCCCATGCCCCCACCTCCCTCCACTGCCGTGCTCATCCCCGCGTTCCTCCGGCACTGCCCAGGTCACGCAGACCTCCTCCCCTCGCCTGTCCTGTCCTGGGCGCCCTGCCACCAGGCCACCCGCCCCGCGGCTGCCAGCCCACTGCCCGTGGGGCTCTGGTTACAGCCCTATAAAGTTTGCCCTGTTCCTCGCCCTGGCCCTGGTGTCGTGCGTCACCCCTGCGGAGAGGAAGGTATGGGGATGGGTGGTGATGGGGACATGGTGCTGGCACCCCGTGAGACCCCAAAAGTGCTGCTGGGGCTGCGGTGCTCAGCGGGGAGCCAGGGCTGGGCTGCCGGAGCTGGTGGGACCAGCGCTGTGCAGTGCTGAGGGAAGCTGCAGGGAGGCTGGGAGGGAGGCACCGCTCCCGCAAGGATGCTCCTCGCTGTGGGAGTCCGCCCAGAGACAGACAAATGGAGCTGTGCCCCAGAGAAACCCTGTTTCCCACCAAGCGTGCAGGGAAAGCATCGCACCCTCTGCTTTAGCATGGGGAGGACCTGCTCTGCCCCGGGTGGCAGCAGCAAACAGCCCAGAGCAGCGGCTGGGCTGAAGGCAATCAGTGCTGCGGCTGCGATGCTCCTGAAGAGGTGGTGACACTGGTGGCACCAGCTCCACAGAGGGTCCGTGGTGCATCCCCCAGTGCTGCAGGCATCCCCAGGCAGAGCCAGGGTGGTGGGGCGGGAGCAGGATGCCCTCCCTGCCCGGCCGGGCACCCCAAGCCACAGCGCTGGCCTTGCAGTGCCTCCTCTCTGGGTCGTGGCGGAGTGATGCTGGCTGCCGGATGGTCGTGTCCGTCCTTGGCAAGGACGGCAGCTTCTCTGGTTCCTACCTGCCGGGGCCTGCTGCCAGCGACTCCGAAATCCTCACCTCGCCCCTGGAGGGGTCCCAGCAGGACGCGGCGCTGGTCCCACAGCCCACCTTCTCCTTCACCGTGCGCTGGCAGCTCCGAGGTAGGCAGGTGGGGTCATCGCCCTGCAGTGGCGATGCCAGCGGAATGCAGGGGAGTGCCTTTGTGCCTTGCCACCCCAACTCATGCCACCTCGGACCCTTCCAGGCTCAGAGACAGCCCAGAGGACTGCCTTCCTGGGCCAGTGCTACGTGGGCGCCAATGGGGAGGAAACACTGCATGCCCTGTGGCTCCTGCGAGAGGCGGCCGACAGCCCCGCAGAGGACTGGAAAGCCACCCGGTGAGTGCTGGGTCCTGGCCACTGCTGTGCCAAGCTTTCCTGCACCCCAGGCTGGAGAAGGTAGAAAGGATGAGGCACGGCAGTACTGGGAGGGTGAAATGGGTTTGTCATCGGTGATGAGCAGGGGCTAAGGAGCATCCCTGTGACCTGGCCACCCCCTGCATCCCAGGTCTGACCCAGGGTTGGTGACCACAGGATGGGGTCTGGCCCCAGTTGGACTTCCCAGGGACTCTCCTTGCACTGTCCCCAGCAGGGAGAGAGCAGAACATGATGCCAGCACCTGGTGCAGCCTCTGCTATTGCGTGTTGGAGCCCCCGGCATCCAACGCAGCACCCATCGAGGCAGCGGGGAACACAGTGCCCCCCCTCGGGTTTCCACTCTGTACCCTCCACCACAGCATAGGGGACCGCGGCTGCATGAACCACAGTGATTTCTGGCTTCCTGCAGGATTGGCACCAGCGTTTTCACCCGGATAAAATAACAGCAAGCGGGGACACCCAGGAGACCCAGGACTGCAAGGAGATGGCGCTTCCCCTAGCCAGGCTCTGCCCGTCCTGACGTGCTGCATTTCAGCAGCTCTCAGCCCACAGGTTCATGCTTTCCCAGGCAAGTTCAGGTGCAAAATAAAGGGTTTCTGTGGGGATGCAGGGCTTGGATCTGGTTTCTGCCCTGCCTCAAACCCATGGGGTTTGTCTTGCCCCACAGCCACCCTCCCATGGGGAGGCTTAGTGCAGCAGGGCAGCAGGGTCCCTGGGGATGGGGGCTGTCCCATGTCCCCTCCCTGGCAGCCTGCAGCAGCCCTGCACCTGCAGCCCTGCCACTGTGCTGTGGGTAACTTGTCCCTCGGGGTCCCTCCCAAATGTCCCCAGGGGTGCGGGGCAAAGCGGGCTGTGACCAGGTGGCGGGATGAGGCACAGCCCTGGTGGGACGCCATGGGCAGCGCATCCCAGGGCTGCAGGGCAGGCTCCAGGCAGAGCCTTCCCCGTGTGAGCAGAGCAGAGGAAGTTTCTCAGGCACCCGAATGCATGGGGCGGCTGCAAATGGCTTTTGCAGAGCCGGCAGCCTCCTGTTCCCAGCCCCGGCGGATGCGCTGCGGCAGACGGCTGGCAACCGCCCCAGGGGTGGGGAAAGCTTCCAAACAGCCCAAGAGAGACCCCTCGGCCTGGCCACATCCCTTGAGCAATGCACACGCAGGGGTCCTCAGCCAAGCCCCTGCTTGGCCAGGGAAAGGGAAGAGGGGAGGGATGCATCTGGCACCGGCTGGGTTTTTTCATGCATCCCAGCCCGACCTCTCTGCCTTCTGCCGCAGACACCTTGCCAAAGCAGTCCCACCATGACTGGCTTCCTTGGGGGTTCAGTAGCTCCAGGGCTGAGGTGCCTGATTTTGGGAGCTGGGGGAAGATGATGGCGCTGTCACTGCGTTTCCAGCTGCTTTTTTAACCGGGTGCTCAGATTTCTGCCAGTTTTTCTGTTTCCACCAATATCCAGCAGCTGGTGCTAGTGGATAAAAATAGGACGGATGCTGACGTGGGGCTTAGGTTTCCCTTGAAAAGGAGGGTATGTCTTACTTCCGCTACGGAGTGAAATTCCCCCCTCTCCAAGAAACCTCCATTCCTTTAAAAAAAAGGGAAACCTGATTCCTTTAAAGCGGTGAGCAGGAGGTGTTTTGTACCAGCCACACAGCCCAGGCCCTCCTTGGCAATAGGAGCCAAATTTCATTTCGTGCCTTAGTAATTTTCAATACATCGCTACCGTGGAAAGGAGATGGCAGTATCAAAACCTGGGGAGTCACCAAGGAAAAAAAAAAAGAGAGCAACACCCATACAGGACTTGCCAAGGGCTGAGCAGAACGTTTTGCCCCAAAAGGCTCTGGTCTGTCAGTGTGCTCCCAGGACGCTCCCATCTGCCGGGACATGCGTGGGATGCAGGTCAGCCTTGGGAATAACATAGGGAACACGTCGGGAGGGGCAGGCAAGGACAGTGACACCAAGCTAAGCCGGAGTGCAGGGCCGCGCGTGCGTGCAAGCAGCAGCGATGCGCACACAGCCTGCACTCTGCAAGGGAAATAGATGTCACGGAGGGTCTGCGGCACGGAGGAGGAGCAGGGTGGCAGAAATACCAGGCTCCTCCCATCCCTCTGCCTGATGGAAACAAGGTGCAAGCCTCCTTGGCCAAAGGACTCATTCCAGGCATTTTTATCATCGCTGCCCTTTAACCCAAGGCGTGAGGCCCAGGCTGGGTTTCCTTCCTCTTGCCAGCGCCGAGCTGACCGCTGTGGGACTGGTGCGAGAACACAGAAAGCGATGACAAATAGCACCCCTGCAGCAACACAGGCTGAGACTGCATAGCAACCGTCCCCAAAATGCCCGGCGCAGACACGTCCCCAGTGCAGTACAGGGACCACAGGGACCAGCTCCGGGCTCTGCGATATCCCAGCCCCTGCCGCAAGCTTTCCAGCTGCGCGGGCTGGTGCAGGCAGTGCCGGATAGCAGGAGCGTGGGTTCAGCTGCATTTGATGAGGAGCCCACCGCGCTCGCCTGGCTCCCTGCCCGCTCTCCCAGAGCCGTCTCCCCTCCTGACATTTGGCCAAGCAAGCCTGGTGCTGACCCCATCGCCCCTGGCCGAACACCAGCTCTGGTGGCCGCTGCCTGCTTTGCTAGCAACACCACCGTGTTTTACTTCAGATGACGCATACAATATCCATTAGTGCTGGGTCGGGGACTCCAGGTGACATCAGTGGCATTACGCGCCCCAGCCTTGAACTGCAAAAAACAAAGCGCAAGTGAGGATGGGGTCCTAGACCTTCCTGCCACCACACATGGCTCCTGGAGAAAAAGGCCCAGTGGTTCGCTGGGGATGCTCGTAGGCTGCCTGCCCCATGTCCTGATCCTGTTACAAGCGTGCTGCTGCCTGTATCGAGACCGGGCCCCCGGGTGAGCCACCCCCTTGGCTGTCTCTCCTGCCCGGGCAGAGACACAACATTCAATTTTGTCTCTCATTCACCTGCACAAGTACCCTTTGCTTCCTGGGTGGGTTGCAAGTGTGGTGCTGCCTGCACCCATCGCCTTGCTGGACTCCCACACCCCCAAACCCCAGGCTGCAGAGCTCGGTGTGAGCTCAGGCTCTGCCTCTACCTCCCCTGGACCTGGACCTCTGCCTGGACCTCCTCAGGCCTCTTGTGGACCCAGTGATCCCAACCAAACCCAGGGCCCAGCCCTGACTTAGCAACCACCCAGCAGGCAGGACCCTCCCTGCGGCCCCTGTCCGAGGGGATGGGGCCATTGCACCACCCTGGCTCTGCTCCGCTTCCTGCGATTGTGCAGCTCCCCGTTACGAAAGCAGCAGTAGGGGCAGACACCGGCTCCTCTCACTTCCTGCAGGGGAAGCTGCTCTCTTACGCGGCGCTGGCAGCTTGAGTGTGCGCAGGTCACACGTGGGTGCTGGGTGCTCACAACACCCACTCGTCTCCAGAAGTGGTTCAGGAGTGTTTTCGCACCCTAACGCCTCCAAGGAGCAACTGCCCCACAAACTTGCGCTGTGCCTCAACAAGCCTCTCTGCACAGCCGCAGCCACCGGAAGGGAAGGCAGCCTGCGCTCCTCTTCGTCAGGCTGTGAGAGTGATCACCCTCCCAGCCTCCCCTGGGTTCCTCCCACAACACTCCCAGCCCCTGGAGCAGCCCAGCCCCTCACTGGAAGGACCACAGAGGACACAAGTCACACATTTTTAGTACTTATTTACACTTATTGTTAATAAGGAAGTAAGATGTCCCTGCTCATTGCAGGGGGGGTGATCTAGATGACCTTTAAAGGTCCATTCCAACCCAAAGCATTCTATATGATTCTATGAAATGTCCTGAAGCAGGATGAGGAGCGATGCTCAACAGGTACCACTAAGCTGTACTCCAGGAAAGATGCCACTCACCAGATCAAAGTGTTTCTGCTCAGTCCTGGGGAGCAACTAGAGCCACCTGACTGCATCACCGGCCAGCGCACACAAGGACACAGCTTTGAAACTATCCTGTGGCCAGGAAAGCTTTTGGAAGGGCAAGCAGCTCTGCTGCTCTCTGCTCCACACCACCTCAGCAGTCAGGTTCGAGGCATGCCTTCTCCCCAAGGAGAGGAGCTCTGCTCCCAGGGCTTTGGGAGGTGAAAGGCTCAGCCCCTACAGAAGGGAAACAGCACACACAGCTGGGGAAGGACTCCACATTACCTTCCCTAGCCAGGCAGGAGCTGTGCCCGTGGCTCAAAAGCTAGCAGGAACAGGCCATACGCAGGGTCTGTCACAACAGCAGGACCACTCCCTGTGAGAGCACTGAAGGTCAGCTCGCTATCTCGGACCTAGAAATCAGGCAATCCTGCAGGATTAAGGGGAAGGAACAAGGGACAGATGTTTGCGGCCACCAGACACAGTAAGAAGTGCAGGACCCAGCCTGTGCACCTCCACCTGGGCAGGGAAGAAGCAGGGCAGCAGCCTCCATCACCAACTGCATTCAGTCAGACCAAACACAGGCACCTCAGGCCCAACTGCTTTCACCCTCCATGCCAGAGCTCATCCCTGCGAGCCAGGGGGCACACCCCGGGCTGCAGGCCACGTCAGCAGCCATAGCAAAGTTCCTGGAGTTTCCTACCCTGTCTCAGGTAGAGTCCTGCTACAGATACACAGAGCAGAGTGTCAGTACATGTCAACCCTACGACGATTCCTCCCTGGTAAACCCTCTGAGCTGCCAGCAATTGGGAGAGTATTCAGAAGAATCTGCTTTGATGGATTATCTGTTAATGCAGCTCTGTTTGTCCCTGCCCGGCAGGGTGCCTGGCATCACCCTGAGAAGCAGGAGGCAGCGGTGGTCACATCTCATCTGCACGGTGCTGCTGGATCACAACTCTGGCAGCACTTTCCACCCACTCCTGCCTATTGGCTTTCCACGTTGCCGGCACCACTGTCTGCAAAGGGTCGCTCTGGGAGTGCTGCTCCTGAGGCTGGGGAGGGCCCAGCTCGGAGTCCGCTGCCGTCAGAGGGTCGGAGGACGAGTTGCTGTTGAAAGAAGATCTGGGATCGGGGCTGAGTGGACCCTGTCCCTCTTCCCGTGATTGATTAAGGTTGCCCAACAGCGGGAGGTCCTCAGGCTCTGTGCTGAACCCATCCAGCACAGTGCCCTCCTGCACATCAGGTGCTACTCGGTTTGGGAACTCACGGATCTGCCGCGACAGCACTGCAAGAGAGGTAAAGCCAGCCCTGTCATTCCCAGCCTCTCACCATCCCGCTCTGAGCACAGGCCAGCACAGACCCCATGAGAGGGGAACAAACTGTTCAACTAGGGCTGCCTCCTCCCAGGGGAGGCGGGGAGAGGATGCTGCACAGCTGCCAGGAACAAGCACAGCTTGTGCTCCAAGAGGGACTGGATCCCTCCAGTTCTTGTACTGGGTCCCGCCCCTAGGTGGGCCTCTGCAACAGGGCTGAGGAAGAGGCCAGAGCTGCGGCGAGACAGCAAAGCTAAACCTAGAGGTCACCCCAGGCAAGGGGCTGCCAGGTCGGAGGCACCCCAGGGTTCAGGCTGTCTCTGAGGAAAGTGCTCTGCCCTGAAGGGCAGCATTTCGCCTGGAGCCACGCCTCAGCCCCTGGGCACTCACCTCTGAGCTCTGCCTGTGGTTCTCTTCTCCCAAACGAGCAGATGCTGGGGGGAAGAATGAGGCAGAAGGACAGAACCACAACCTGGAAACAGAAAGAAGATCAGCACAAGACCTCAGCAAAGGACACGGATAGGCATCATTGGCAGCAATAAACATCTCTCTCCCAAACTTATAAGGACAGTAGAGACCCCTTCACAGACACTGGGGCTGAAGCAACTCACCATGATGCAGGTTTTTGCTGTGGTAGTTTTGGTGGTGGATGATCTGACCAAGGCCTGCAGCTTCCTCAACTGCTGGAGCAGTGACCTGCAGGAGAGCAGGCAATGCAGGTTAATGCAGCGGCTGAACCAAGAGCTCCCCGCCTCCTCCCTTTGTAGCCAAGAACAGGCTACCATCCCAAGAAGAGGAACAGCCTTCCTCACCACATCTCCTGCCACATACAACAACAAGAACTCACATGTTCTGCTTCTGCAGCAGCTGCACCTTCTTCTCCAGCTCATGGTTCTGAGCTGTGCAGGCTGCCACCCTTCCCAGGAAAGAAGAACAGCATGGGGGAAAACCAGGGAGATTTTGTTAGTCAACAGCAGGGACTTCATTGCAGTCTCTCCCTCAGGTAATCAGCCACCATCTCTGGTGGCTGGGGCAGATAAAATTGCTCCTGGGGTCTACCCAGCACCACCTGGAGCAAAGAAAGCCCAGAGAGCAACATCTCACACCAGGTTTGGGGAGGAGTGAGCCCTGCCCAGTCCCACAGAGAAGCACCAGACTAATACCTAAGGATGCTCTACGCCTAGCAGCATACCAGCGCTGCAGATCCACGACGTCAGGCTGTATTGCAGACTACCCTGACCTGGAGAACACACTGGATCTGGCAGGCCAGCACCTGACTTGAACAGAACAAGCTCCAGACCATCTCCAAGCATAAGAGAGCAGGGCTGGCTACACCCCAAACTTCTGAGTCCCCTGCCACCCCACAGGGTGCCCAGGGTGCCAAGATGCCAGCAGCGGCACGGCACGACTGCTTGTGACCGGTACCCCCTGCTCTCCAACCCTGGCAATGCGGTTCACACAACTAACAACATTTTATGAGGCGAGCAGCCATTCTCTGTGACTGAGAAGGTCACGTATTCATTCCCTTTGCCTCGTTATCAGGCCCTGAAGGTCCTATGCAGGGACCAAGTAGACAAACCAAACAGACAACTTCTTGCCCTCCCTATCGGCCTCAAGGTTCCTGGGCACCAGGCCAGTTACTCTCCTCCTTACTGGCCTTGAAGGTCCCAGGCACCTGGCCCGCCAGGTGTTGATGACTCTGCCTCAGAGCAGGGAAGCATAACAGCACACAGAGCGCTGTCCATAAAATCAAGCAGTCACGAGTCCTAAGGGGGAACGTGGACCGGAGCTGCTGCTAGATAGTGAGACCTGGGACCCTCCCTGGCCAGGGACACCACCACCATCATCTGCTGCCTCCCATGATTGAGGGAGTGACTCGTATTCCTCTACATAATTTTTGAGTCTAGATTATGATCGTTATAGTGATACAGCAAACCACATGTTAAGATCTGACCCAATCTGCAGAGGGTCCAGGTGATTAGAAATCGTTAAGCTGTATTAGGATCTAGGTGATTAGAAATTGTAAGTCAAGTTGTATTATAGATTCTGTATTACGCTGCTTATAGATTGTACTATATTGTTTCTGCTTGTAGAAATCCTGTGCCATTCTAACAATAAATTCCGTGCTATACCAAACATAGTATGTTAAGAAAACAAAGCTTTAACTGAAACTACAATTTAGTGCCATCATAATTCTGCCAAGGATCCCTAAAAGAACCCATCTGTCCCCTCAGCGTTGGATGACACTGCTGTGTGCCCATACCTGTTTTCCAAGCCATCCACATAGATCTTTTTCCTGCGACGACTATCCTGGGCTGACTGCTTGTTCCGGATCTTCCGACGCACTTTCTTCAGAAGTCGCTCTTCAGCCTGCAAGGGTCATTTCTCCTTAGCAGCAGCCCCGGGGTGTTGGCAATCCAGCCCTCGCAAACCCTCCACACATCTCAGCGCTCAGCCCGCGTGCTTTTGTCCTCTGTCCCCCCCACACCACTGAAGGAGCTACAGGAGCTGCAAGGCAAACTCTTGCCTGCTGATGTGGCCAGAGCTTCCCCATTGTCACAAAAGTGAGGCTTACCTAAGGGAGGTGAAATGCACACGGCTCACAAGCCACTAGGCAAGTGGGGAGGAAAGAGGTTAGAGGCACTTGTGGTGTAACTGCCTCCCTGCGAGCAGTCATGAGTGGGGAGACCAAGAGCAGCCAGGTCTCATTGCTCTTTGTATCTACATAATTAGCAAAGCAGAGGCTGCTGTGCATGTGGACACCCGCCCAAGCCTCAAAAGAAAGAGAAGAACACCAAGCCCTGCCCTGAACACAGCACCTGGGCACCAATGTTCTCGTCAAGGCACCATCCTGTACTTTCAAACCCCTGCTCTGGCTGAATCGTTTGAGTGGTCCAAGTCTGTTTGGGAGTGACAGGCTGCAGCGAAGACTCACTTTGGTCAGTGGCAGACAGGTTGGTAATGAAACACCTTCTTTCTCCAGGAGCTGCCTCTCCTCCTCTGTCAGAACCAGCTCTGGGAAGTCAGACTAGAAAAGAGCAAAAATATGCTTGCTGAGAATGCTAAGTACAGGGAGTCGACCCAGGACAGAGAGGGCATGCAGAAAGCACACAGAACTGGGATCAGCTCTCCCAGAGCAGCATCATGCTTTCCTCCGAGATATCCCCCAGAGGAGCCAAGCCAGCAGAGAAGGGGAGATGCAACCAGAAGCAAAGGCTGGGGCTCACCAGCATGGCAGTCAGTACCTGCACAATGGCTCCAGGCACAAGCTGGGGTTCAGCATCCACAGCAACAGCAATGGGGAAACTGGAGCTCTGTTCCAGTGCCTCGCTTGTGCCTTCCAAACCGATCCATGTCCCTGGGGAAGGAAAGGAGAGTCAAGTGCTGGGCCTCAGCGGGGCAGCAGCACCTGACCAGCCAGCTTTGAGTAGCGTGAAACCACAACTTTACAGCAGCAGAAGGCTACTAGATTTGTCTCTCTCCATCACTGCCTGGCACCCACCCAAAAAACCCCAATGTGTACCCATGACAGAAAAAGCAGCCCCACATCACCTACCAAGGTCAATGGAAACATCTCCTTCTGCCATGTCAGACCTCACGCTTTCCAGCACTGGCCAGCCCCAATGGAGAGAATAGTTGTGATCAACCTGCACGATGTCTAGGCTCTGAGGGCTGCTGGCAAAGTCACTGCCAGGGCTGTGGGACAGATGCTGATCCTCAGAAATGCCACTGTCGCTGTCAGCAGGAGAATAATCCTGTGGCATGGCTGGTTCATCTTCAAAGGGACTCAGCAGGGAGTTGATGAAGTCATCCATCTCCTTGTCCAGGAGCTGAGAGAAAAAGCTTTTACTCAGCAGGGAGCCAAACCTCCTGAATCACAATCCAGCAGCAATTCCTCCCAAAGAACTCACCTCAGGCTCTGGCAGGACCCAGTCTTCCAGCAGCAAGCTGTTCTCCTCCCCTGGGATTTCAGGGCAGGGAGCATCATCCTTCAGGAGGAAGTCAAGCAGGTCCTCATCTGTCAGAGCAGCCAGTTCCTCCGGGCACGACATCTGAGCAGGACACCCAAAGTGAGCAACAGGCACAGAAGGAGGCACCAGCACCCCTTTGAGATGTCCCTCAACCCCTACAGACAAAGTCTCCCCATGCAGGGGCAGCAGCTGCCAGGACACTGCAGCAACGACCAGCCCACAAGTACTTCCCCAACGGGGCTATTTAACCAGCACTTGTGGCCCCACCGCACCAGTTTCCCGACGAGACTACCAGGACCCAGCCACAGGCGCCACGCTTCACCCAGCACCCAAAAGCTGCAGGAAGGAGAGAGAAAGTAGTAGGGCCCCAGACTTTCTGCTGTGGAGAGCATGCAAGATCCTGCCATTCCACTGAGACCTGAAGGTGCTGTACCCCTGGTTTGCAGCCAACGGGGCCCCGCCTCCTACCACAGGCAAATTATTAAGAGAAGTCATTGTCGTGGGGTTAACTAAAAGGGTTTTATTAACAATTAAACGATGACCAAACGATAATTAATTGACCACTGGTAATCAAATGGGGATTAAGCAATAATAGAACAGTAATTAAACAGTGATTTGAAAACACTTTAAGTGATTATTTAAACAGTAATTTAGGCAGCAGTCAAACACACTCTCACCACACTCCTAATAATTATGCTACAGCTAGACAGATAAATAAATGTCACTGGCATACAATGTACTTTTAGGCCAGATGTAAAATGCCGCTTACCTCGCTGCAGATACCAGATGGGGGGTAAAGGGGCCCCCAGCCTCGAGGAGCAACCCTGAGGGGTCCCTGCTCAAGGCGGAGATCACCTCGTGCCCCAGCCGTACCAGTTTTAGTTTTGCCTAGTCCCAGCTCAGGCTGGTGCTGTTATCTCCTGATAAGGCGTGGCTCAGACTCCCCGGTCCCTGGGAAGATGCGGCCTCGCAGGGTTCTCACGGTTTGCACGGCAGGGCTGGTATCGCCGGGCCCGCTGGTCGGTGATGCCTGAACCAAAGCACCCCTCAGGTCAGCGGCAGGGCATCTGTCACGCCTCCCTGCTAAGCTTTCACGTTTAGCTGGCAGATGTCACAGTCGGGGAAAAAAACCCAGCCCAAACTCAAAAACTCCCCCAAAACAACCCACCCACCCAAGAACAGAAAGCCGGGGCAGAGCCCGGCCGCAGGGCTGCTGTGCCAGCCGCCCAGGAACAGGAAGCTGCGCCGCGGGGCTGCCCTGCCAGACGGCACCAGCGGAACGCGGCGCAGGGAGGGGACGGGGCGCGGGGCAGAACCGGG